AACTGAAATCACTCACCATGGTACCTGCCAAGATGTCAACCATAATAAAGTGATTGAAACCAACAGAGAACATGACAAGCAGGAAACATGGATGCTGATGGAGCTCCAGAAGATTCGCAGGCAGATGGAGCACTGTGAGGGCAGGATGTCCCTTAAGAACATCCTGCTAGCCGACCAAGGCTCTACACACCATATCACAGTGAAAATAAATGAGCTAAAGGTAGGCATCCAGTGATATTTTGTTCGATTCCGGGTATATTGTTTATCTGCAAACTAATTAAAAAATACCTCCTGGTTTAAATATTTATAGACAAGAAGCACTAATTTTCAAGAAAACAGGCTTCTGGCAGGATTTCCTCTTTTCTTTCCCATGCTTCCAAATTTGTAGAAGGTTACCAGGCTGGGGATTAAAGCACTGTTGTGTTGGTTTGTGGGTTGTTGAATCAGGCCACGGTGTTTGTCCTCTATGCCACATAGTTCTTTGTTCAGTTTTAAAGTTTTCATAAACATTAGTTTGGTTGCTGCTTGAAACCAACTATGATATGGGCTAAACAAGTAGAATTTTTTTTATGTTTATTTATTTATTTTGAGAGAGACAGAGATAGGATGAGTGGGGGAAGAACAGAGAGAGAGAATCCCAAGCAGGCTCTGTGCTATCAGTGCAGAGCCCGATATGGGGCTCGAACTCACAAACCGTGAGATCATGAGCAAGAGTTGGATGCTTAACTGACTGACACACCCAGGTGCCCTGAGTTATTTTTATTTATAGGTAGGAAACTGACATGGAGAAATTTGTTTGGTGGGGGCGGGGTGGTGGTGGTGGAGGTAAAACCTCAAAGCTGTAGAGAGAGCTGGGATTATGCCCAAGCGTAGTCAGCTCCCAGCTCTGTGATCTTTCCTGCTCAGCCACGCCTGCACGCTGCATTGGGATATCTAAGATAATATATCCTGAGTAAGAGGGCCATGTTTACACAGCGCTGATAAGGCCTCCTCGGAGAAGGAAATGAAATATCAACTCTGTCTCCTGAGTCTTTTCCATTTAGGGGACTACTTCAGGACAAAAAACGATCATAAGAATCACAGTTAAATCAAGAGCTTTCCTTCTTCTTTGACAGAGCGTGCAGAATGATTCTCAAGCAATCGCTGAAATTCTCAACCAGCTTAAAGATATGCTCGCTAACTTCAGAGGTTCAGAAAAATACTGCTATTTACAGAATGAGGTATTTGGACTGTTTCAGAAACTGGAAAATATCAATGGCGTTACAGATGGCTACTTAAATAGGTAAACGCCCCTAACATTTATCACAGATATTTTGCTTTTCTCAAGCTTCATTTTGTCAGACTTCATTTGCTCTGTATGCTTGACCTACTGCTATCTTGCCTTACAGTTTTTCTGTTCACTGCAGACTTACTTACATTCTTCTGTGCTTTTGAGATAGTAGTTGTGAGATGTTAATTCCAGGGTTGTGAAATCTAATGTGTTTTACAGCTGAGGTATATGCTATAAGAGTCAGGACTTAGAATTCTTCAATTAATGCAGAATGGCTGTCTGAATGATGACATAGAGGGGCGGGAGAGGAGTTTATTGCTCCTGCTGCTTAGAATAGGCAAAATAAATTTTCATCAGCTTCTTTCATTAATAGTGGCAAGAGCCAAATGTTCAAAGGGTAATTACGTCACTGGCAATATTATTTGCCTCTTTGCTCTTTACAGCTTATGCACTGTAAGAGCTCTACTCCAAGCTATCCTGCAGACAGAAGACATGTTAAAGGTTTACGAAGCCAGACTCACTGAAGAGGAAACGGTGTGCCTGGATTTGGATAAGGTGGAAGCTTACCGCTGTGGACTGAAGGTAACTGAAAGTTGTGTTCAGTTGATAGCAGTGTCCCGGCTTATGGGAAATCATGTGATCCAAGGCTTCACTACGTTTTTATGAGTTTGAGGATTACTAGAGTTCATTAGCCACACCTGGTTGGTATCTGTTGTTATCTGTAGTACACTGTTTACCAGGCTGTACTGTTAAGAACAACGTGCAGAGGTAATTTGTGGTGAAATTTGTTCGGAAAACACAAAGTTAAACATAACTGAACTGGTTTCTTCACTACAGCTCTTCTCTTCTTCTTTAATATATTCATATGTATTATCATTATTCAGCAATGAAACAGAGTTGGTATTTAGCATTTCTCAAATACGCACATTAAATCCTCTATTAATAGGGTAGCATAAGAAGCTAGATCACTGACATAAATATTGGGAAATGCAATCAGTGAATATGCTTTTCTGGATTGCTTATCACTTAAAAATACAAATATTCCAAGAGATTAACTTGTACTCTTTCTTTCTCCTGTGACAGAAAATCAAAAACGACTTGAACTTGAAGAAGTCTTTGTTGGCCACCATGAAGACAGAGCTGCAGAAAGCCCAACAGATCCACTCCCAGACTTCACAGCAGTATCCACTTTATGACCTGGATCTGGGCAAGTTCAGTGACAAAGTCACACAGCTGACAGACCGCTGGCAAAAAATAGACAAACAGATAGACTACAGGTGTGCCAACTTCCTTCCCTAGTTTCTTCCCATTTGGTTGTTCCAAGATAATGTCACTTGAAGTTGTCATTACAAAAGCAGTGGTTTGATTGGCTGTGTTAGTTAGGCGCAAGAGACGCTCTGTTCATGGGCTGTCTGGAGTCAGCTTTGTGGGAAAAGGGGGAAGCAGGCACCTCGCAATAGCCAAGCTTGAACCAACCCATACCAGGTACTTGTAGAGAAATCAGCAGAAGACATCACTCAGGCTCTTTGGGGCCTTGTAAACTCTTGCTAGAATTGTTGGAAGGAGTAGATACTTTGAGTGAGTGTTCTTCTGAAATTTAAGAAAATTAAATCTACTACAAAAGAAATGCCTTCTTCCAAATGAGGGTTTAAAAAGTCTCTTTTAATTTTACAGTAGTTCATTTTACTAACAGTGCTTTTTTAAAATTGGTAACTAATTCCCTTGTCATACAATTCCCCCATTGAAAGTGTATAATCCAGTGGATTTTACTGTATTTAAGATTACGTAACCATCACTGCCATCTATGTCTAGAACATTTTCTTTACCCTGAGAAAAGAGCCTCATACCCATTAGCAGTAATTTCCCATCACCTCCCAATCCTCCAGCCACAACGCAGTCTTTCCTGTCTGTGGATTTGCCTGTTGCAGACATTTCATATGAAGGATCATATATTATGTGCTCCTTTGTGACTGTTTTTCCACTCAGCATAATGTTTTCAAGGTTCATTCTTGGGGTAGCATGTTTTCTTACTTCATTCCTTTTTATGAGTGAATGGTATTCTATTGTATGGCTATATTTACTACATTTTGTTTATTTTATTTTATTTACTTTCATTCATTCATGGTTTGGGGCTATCATGAAGAATGTCACCATGAACATTCATGTGTAACTTTTTGTAGGGAGGCATGTTTTCAGCTCTCTTGAGTAGGCAGCAGGTGGAATGATTGGGTCATATGATAACTCGGTTATATACTCTCAGGACCATTGCTTTTGTGATTTTATCATATCGATTTTCTGCAGATTATGGGACCTGGAGAAACAAATCAAGCAACTGAGGAATTACCGTGATAACTATCAGGCTTTCTGCAAGTGGCTCTATGATGCCAAACGCCGTCAAGATTCCTTAGAATCCATGAAGTTTGGTGACTCTAACACAGTCATGCGATTTTTGAATGAGCAGAAGGTACAAACCAGTTTGTCATTTCCTTAGATAACATTGAGTGTAACCTGTATTTTCCTGTTTTCATAGTCATGCCTAGGTTTGAAATGATATATTTATGAAGGCTTTTTAAAATTTTTTTTTAATGTTTTATTTATTTCTAAGAGAGAGAGAGAGACAGCATGAGCAGGGGAGGGTCAGAGAGAGAGGGAGTCACAGACTCTGAAACAGGCTCCAGGCTCTGAGCTGGTAGTCAGCACAGAGCCCGACGCGGGGCTCGAACCCATGAACCGCAAGATCATGACCTAAGCAAAAGTCGGATGCTTAACCGACTAAGCCACCCAGGCGCCCCTGAAGGCTTTTTAAAAAATGTTTATTTTCTTAGAGAGAGAAAGAGAAAAAGAGAGAGAGAGAGAGATAAGGAGAGAAAGAATCCCAAGCAGGTTTCACGCTGTCAGTGCAGAGATGCAGGGCTCCATCTCATGAACCTGAGCTGAAATCACAGTAGTACACTTATCTGACTGATAAGCCTGAAATGATGTTTGATATTACCAGTTCATTTTGTGAATGCTTATATAAGGCCCAATGGAAAAACAGTTGAGATATTTATAAGGAAATCAATGGGCAAAGCAGAAATAATGTAACATTATAGTAAAGTATCTTTAAATTGAGGTGATAGGATCAGAAAAGAGTATAGATTAGAAAGTTTCCTCTTAGAGAATAAGAAATTGAGGATCTGGGACACCTGGGTGGCTCAGTCAGTTAAGCATCTGACTTTGGCTCGGGTCATAATCTCATGCTTCATGGGTTTGAGCCCCGTGTCGGGCTCTGCATTGACAGCTAAGAGCCTAGATGCCTGCTTCGGATTCTGTCTCCCTCTCTCTCTGTCTTTCCACCACTCATTCTCTGTCTCTCTCTCTCTCTCAAAAATAACTGAACATTAAAAAATAAAGATTTAAAAAAAAAGAAGCCAAAGATCTTGCCTACCCTTTTCTGAATGGAAAACATGCTCATCTTCTCAGGCTTAACTGAGAATAGGAGTTCACTGCATGTAGTCATAAACTGTGGAAAACCAGTTGTCCAGCAGTGAAATAGCATTTATTTAAAAATATTTATATACTTTAATGCTTATAAGTATTATACTTTTTGTGTAGAACTTGCACAATGAAATCTGTGGCAAACGAGACAAATCAGACGAAGTTCAGAAAATTGCCGAACTCTGTGCAAATTCAATTAAGGTATGTTCGTTTCACAAAGAATGTTGGCATTTCATCAAGAATAATATTAACTGTGCTCGCTTCAGCACACGTACTAAAATTGGAATGATACAGGGAATATTAGCATGGCTCTTGTGCAAGGATGACATGCAAATTTGCGAAGTGTTCTGTATTTTAAAAGTATATATTATGAACGGTGTTATTTTCTGAAATACTTGAAAGAGTATAAACTTCTTGAGGATAGCAATTATGGCTTCTATGTGTTCTCTCTTGAACAAACCGTGAAAAATTTATTAACTATTAACATAAATTCATCGCACATTGGAATATCAATGGAGTGGGCTGGTCTTCATTCTTTATACTAGTAATATGGGTAACAATCTTCATTTAATATAAAGACGTACTCCTTGGTTTAATAATGTAATGTTAGTGACTTGGACACTGTCAATGCATGATAGCCTATGGGGTTGGTCATTAGAAACACAGCATGATGATTTAGGACCGTGGAATTGTAGCTGTCAGTGACTCTTTTAAGTCCAATTGAGTATGTTTCTCTTAAACCTTTTTATTCTGCAGGATTATGAACTCCAGCTGGCATCGTACACCTCAGGATTGGAAACTCTACTGAACATACCTATCAAGAGAACCATGGTTCAGTCTCCCTCTGGGGTGATTCTGCAAGAGGTATGTATCTCATTACATATTCTTAGAGCCAGCCCCTCCTGCATCTTCTGTTGTCCCTGCTTCCTTCCTGTCTTCCCTGTAGACCCTGAATTCACCCTTTGTTTCAAGGTATCCACTCCAAAAGGGTTTAATAGCAGGTTATGCTCCTTCAGTGGGAGTCATCAATACCTAAGTGATTTTAGGAGGTGGTCAGTGGAAATCTGGATCTGTTGTTTATATGGTAGGATCTTCGCAGAAGATCTGGGATTAGTGAGGGAGGCTTTTAACAAGTGGAAAATGTCTAGTTGATTTTTAAAGGACAACTTCTTCCCAAAGATGTCAGATAGCATCATCTGTCAGATAGTTTAGGGGAAATACTCTAGAGGGATGAGGATAGGCTACAATCTTGTGAGCCTTTTGTTTTGTGGTACTTCTGGATTTTGGAATTAGCACACATGAAGGAAGGGAATTCACTATTTGTGTTAATTTTTTAGTGTTAATTTGTTCCCCAGTCAGGGGAGGGGCAGAGAGAGCGGGAGAGAGAATCCTAAGCAGGCTCCGCACTGTCAACACAGAGCCCGATGTGGGGCTTGAACTCACAAATCATGAGATCGTGACCTGAGCTGAAATCAAGAATCAGACGGTTAACCAACTGAGCCACCCAGGCACCAAATTATAATTTCACTATTTCATTGATTTAGGAAATAAAATTGGTCAGCTTGCATAGGACATTTTTTTTAATGCAGTAACTGTTTTTTTTTTTTTTTTCTCTCACTCCTTTTTTACAAGGCCGCAGATATGCATGCTCGATACATAGAACTACTTACAAGGTCTGGAGACTATTATAGGTTCTTAAGTGAGATGCTGAAGAGTTTGGAAGATCTGAAGGTAATTTACTTAATTTCCTTGGAGTGTTGGAAAAGAAAGTGGAATAGAACTTTATTATTACTGCCTCATTAGAATATGGATCTGGACATACTTCCTGTCTACACTAGAGTTTATTCATGAGTTAGGGGTTAATTCTGTGCTTCAGGACAGTGCGCTGAATGGTGTTAGGTGATGTTTACAAAATTCTAGCTGCTTTACCGTACCAAAAAACCCCCACTAATTTCATTTACTGTTTGGTCAAGGATTTTGCTTTTTTCATGTGTGTTTTTTCTTTTTTTAAATGTTTATTTATATTTGGGAGAGAGACACAGAGCATGAGCTGAGGAGGGGCAGAGAGAAAGAGAGGGAGACACAGAATCTGAAACAGGCTCTAGGCTCCAAGCTGTCAGCACAGAGCCTGACATGGGGCTTGAACTCACGAACTGTGAGATCATGACCTAAGCCGAAGTCAGATGCTTAACTGACTGAGCCACCCAGGTGCCCCTGTGTATTTTTTTAAATTAAGGAAGAGAGCGTCCTGGACTGGCTGGATTTGGATTTTTTATCGACATACAAATTTGTTTTATCAATTTGGATGTTTTTATCAACATAAAAAAATCTAGTTGTTTAATTTACTTGTCATTTCCAATACATGCATTCAGTTTATATGAAAACTTAATACCCTGAAATAAAGGAAATGTTAACTTCTGAAATTTTAAGATTTTGATCTTGGAAGAAGTTACCTCACTTACACATGAAGCAGGGGAAACTCAACGATGCTGTATCATTTGCTAAGATCATACAGGCAGTTGATGGAAGAATTATGACGAGAACACAGATTTTGTGGGTTTTTGTCCAGTAGCTTTTGCCTTGTATCACTCTTTCTATATGTGCTTGTGTGTGTGTGGTGTGCGTGTGCACATGTGCAGGTGTGTGAGGAGAAACGAGAACACACAACGGTCTGAGAGGGGGGAGAGGGCCGTTTCTTTTTCTTAGGACGTGAGAGGTTTTCCTTTCATCCTAATTTCTGATTTCACTTCCGCAGCTGAAAAACACCAAGATTGAAGTTTTGGAAGAGGAGCTCAGACTGGCCCGAGATGCCAACTCTGAAAACTGCAATAAGAACAAATTCCTGGACCAGAACCTGCAGAAGTACCAGGCGGAATGTTCCCAGTTCAAAGCCAAGCTTGTGAGCCTGGAGGAGCTGAAGAGGCAGGCGGAGCTGGACGGCAAGTCGGCCAAGCAAAGCCTAGACAAGTGCTACGGCCAAATCAAAGAACTCAACGAGAAGATCACCAGGCTGACTTACGAGATCGAGGACGAGAAGCGGAGACGCAAGGCTGTGGAAGACAGGTTTGACCAACAGAAGAATGACTATGACCAGCTGCAGAAGGCAAGGCAGTGTGAAAAGGAGAGCCTCGGCTGGCAGAAAATGGAATCCGAGAAAGCCATCAAAGAGAAGGAGTACGAGATAGAAAGGTTGAGGGTTCTGCTGCAGGAGGAAGGCGCCCGGAAGAGAGAATATGAAAGTGAGCTGGCAAAGGTAAGAAACCACTATAATGAGGAGATGAGTAATTTAAGGAACAAGTATGAGACAGAGATTAACATTACGAAGACCACCATCAAGGAGATATCCATGCAGAAGGAGGACGATTCCAAAAACCTGCGAAACCAGCTTGACAGGCTCTCGAGGGAAAATCGAGATCTGAAGGACGAGATCGTCAGACTCAACGATAGCATATTGCAGACCACCGAGCAGCGACGGAGGGCCGAGGAAGATGCCTTGCAGCAAAAAGCCTGTGGCTCCGAGATGATGCAAAAGAAGCAGCATCTGGAGATAGAGCTTAAGCAGGTCATCCAGCAGCGCTCCGAGGACAATGCTCGGCACAAGCAGTCCCTGGAGGAGGCTGCAAAGACCATTCAGGACAAAAACAAGGAGATTGAGAGACTCAAAGCAGAGTTTCAGGAGGAGGCCAAGCGCCGCTGGGAATATGAAAATGAACTGGCTAAGGTAAGGAACAATTACGACGAGGAGATCATTAGCTTAAAAAACCAGTTCGAGACTGAGATCAACATCACCAAGACCACCATCCACCAGCTCACCATGCAGAAGGAAGAGGACACCAGCGGCTACCGAGCCCAGATCGACAACCTCACCAGAGAAAACCGCAGCCTATCCGAGGAAGTAAAGCGCCTGAAGAACACGTTAGCCCAGACCACGGAGAACCTCAGGAGGGTCGAAGAAAATGTCCAGCAGCAAAAGGCCACGGGCTCGGAGGTGTCGCAGAGGAAACAGCAGCTGGAGATCGAGCTGAGACAGGTCACTCAGATGCGGACGGAAGAGAGCCTGAGATACAAGCAGTCGCTCGATGACGCCGCCAAGACCATCCAGGATAAAAACAAAGAGATCGAGAGGTTAAAACAACTGATAGGAACAGAAACCAGTGAGCGGAAACGCCTGGAAGAAGAGAACGCTAAACTACAGCGGGCCCAGTATGATCTGCAGAAAGCCAATAACAGTGCCACGGAGACGATCAGCAAGATGAAGGTTCAGGAGCAAGAGCTCACGCGCCTGAGGATCGACTACGAGCGGGTGTCCCAGGAGAGGGCCGTGAAGGACCAGGACATCACGAGATTCCAGAGTTCTCTGAAGGACCTGCAGCTGCAGAAGCAGAAGGTGGAGGAGGAGCTGACTCGGCTGAGGAGGACCGCCTCCGAAGACTCCTCGAAAAGGAAGAAGCTGGAGGAGGAGCTAGAAGGCATGAGGAGGTCTCTGAAGGAGCAGGCGATAAAAATCACCAGCCTGACCCAGCAGCTGGAGCAGGCGTCCATCGTTAAGAAACGGAGCGAGGATGACCTCCGGCAGCAGAGGGACGTGTTGGACGGCCACCTGAGGGAGAAGCAGAGGACCCAGGAAGAGCTGAGAAGGCTCTCCGCCGAGGTCGAGGCCCTGAGACGCCAGTTGCTCCAGGAACAAGAAAATGTCAAACAGGCTCACCTGAGGAACGAGCATTTCCAGAAGGCAATAGAGGATAAAAGCAGGAGCTTAAACGAAAGCAAAATAGAAATCGAGAGGCTGCAGTCTCTCACGGAGAACCTGACCAAGGAGCACTTGATGTTGGAGGAGGAGCTTCGGAAGCTGAGGCTGGAATACGATGACCTCAGGAGGAGCCGGAGCGAGGCGGAGAGTGAAAAAAACACCACCATCTCTGAACTCAGGAGCCAGCTGCAGATCAGCAACACCCGGACCCTGGAACTGCAGGGGCTGATTAATGATTTACAGAGAGAGAGGGAAAATTTGAGACAGGAAATTGAGAAATTCCAAAAGCAGGCTTTAGAGGTATTCACAAATATTTGATCACAGCTTCCCTGTCCTTCAAATAATTCACTCCTTTTGCATCTGAACTCAGCTGTGCTCCTGATAACTGGGATGGCCACTTACAGCAAGCCTAATTTCTCTTCTTATTGCTGTGCTGCTGCTGCCGTAACCCAGGCCACTGCTTTACAGCAGTTTGTCCTGTTTGCCCTTCTGTTCTGTCCCTGCATCAGTACCTATCTGTGTGTCACTCCTGTTTGGAGTGCTTTTCGAACATGAGCTCATCATCAGGTTTAACACCTGAGAGCTTGTCCTCTGAATATTCCAGTCT